ACCACAGTAATTGCAAAGAATGTTAAAGGAAATATAGGAAAGGGCTCCGGAATCAGGCTAAAAAGTGGTCAACTTTGTTTGCTAAAGGGGTTAAGCAGCCTGCGTTACAAGGCAGGTGTACGAGGTTAGGGCGCCAGGTTGTGTGCTGCACGCGCAATTAACTCTCCCCGTGTGGTTCTTTTGTATGCGGCCGGCGAGTCTGGCTTGGCGATATGATTATCGTCGGGTCATTCTTCTAGTTCACACTCCGCTCGGCCCCGGCTCTTTTGTCCCGCAAGGAGCCCCACATTACAGTGCTGACGGCTCACTCAACTGCTTCGAATCCATCCTATATCGAAAAACGACTTGCAAATAGGCGCCTCCGCGGACTCCGCGCTACCGAACTCGTTATTATCTTGTTAGCGGGATAATTTCACAGGTTTGTCCGTTGTACGCGATAACCACCACTTCTCTCTTACCTCCTCTCCTCCTCTCATATATTCGAAACGAAAACTAGGGTAGGGTGGAGAGGAGGGGATCGGAGGAGGGGGCACTCCCACAAGACGCGGAACTGAGTACGCACTCGTCAGAGCAGCGGGTCCGGGCGGGGCGGCGGGCGTCGGCGGCATGGCGAAGCATGGCCACATCAGATCCTAATTATCTCAGCTATCAAAATTAGCATCTTGTAAACGGCGCCGCAGCCACGGGGTCTGCCGGCCGGGGCCGGGCGGGCCGCCTCAGACCTGCTCGGGGTACAGCCCGCCCCGAAACGCACTGCATGGGCGCGGTCAAGTACAGTAGGAGGAAAAGAGCAACGCTCTGCGTTCTTCTGTGTATGCGTGTTCAGTAATTTTCATTTTTCACAACAAAAAAAAAACTGAATAAAAATGAAATTTTTCAAGATTTTTTTTTGAATTTCCGTTTGTTTCTTCTGAAAAGTTTGAACTTTTAACAAAATTTCTGGAAGTATTCCAAGTGTTTCATTTTTTGTTCTGGTATTGTTTCTATTTTCCACGGAAAAATCTCCTCAAGTGTTTCAAACTCCGCGCGGTTCGGACACCCCTTTGGCGCGCAATATTCAAACTGGACCGCCGTGCGCCTGTCCCCGGTCCGACCGTCTTGCCGCGGCGGGGCGGCTGTCTGTCAGCGCGCGAGAGGCGCTCCGCGGCGTCGTCATTAGCGCTGCCATGATCGTTAGCCTCGCCTAGGGCGCGTGTGGTCGTCCCGCCGTGGAGGGGGTAATAGGTCACCTCGAGGCCCACACGGTGCGCGCGCACAC